CACGCAAAGTTTGACAGCTTCATCCAAGTGGCTCGAAAATGAGAACTCGGGGCTATAGTGTAGACATGTCCTCCAACCGAATATGTCTCTTGCGGTGTCTTGGAAATGAGCATGTACACTAGGAGGTGGACAGTAGGCAGTGTAACGTCCGTCCGAGCTGGTCATCCTGAACGATGAGTCGGAACCAAATCTTGCGTACCTAGGGAGGAGGGGTGCCTCGGCCGTGTAATTACGCTATGTATCCGTACATAGATAGTATATGTATCCGTACGGTGATGGAATTCTCGCTCATTGTAGGTAATCAATCTTATCTACTTGGGTAGGAAGGATTGGCTCACAGATTCGCTTGATGCGCGCTCGTCCATGTGCACGCACTTCTGGGCCAGAATTGCAGAATGACGCCTGTACCAGCAGCTGCATGCATGCATCCAGCCAGAAAGAAATTCGACAGAAGCCGACGGGAAAGATGGATGGATGCAAGTGCGTGAGATGGGACGACGATGACTGGTCCTGCCCTGCTGCAATGCCAGAAATGTGTTTGAGACTGCTGCAGGGGTTCCATCTCTCCTGCTCATACGGATAATGCGTGTCAACTGCCACATGCACTACTCATGCCGCGACCGCCCTAGCAATATTACGCTGCTGCAGAGAAAAAAGAAAGAGGGTCGTCACGTATCTGCTCCGCTGCTGCACCTGCCTATCCCCACTCCAGTGACGGGATCATCCACCCATCCCGCAGTCGCACCTTCTTCCCACCTCGACCTGCAGGTACGTATCCTCAGCTAAGTATCCCCCTACACTGCCTACCTACCTACCTAGTTTGGCGCCAAGGACAACACTGCGTACATAGTAAGGTTGGCGCCTACCTAGTGTAGGTAGGGAAATGGGTGCTGAATGAATCGGACCAAAACAAAAGGTCAATTTGATTGTGGCCAATGATGATGCAGAGGGGAAAACATCACCTCAGTGCTGACGCTTAGGTCCTGTTTTTATGACCTATTAGTACGTACCCGTACCTTCCAGGTAGGTAGCTGGGTAGGTAGGCAGGTAGGTCACCACGGCCCATCGCCGCTGGCAGTGAACGACCGCCAGGGGAGAAAAGTAAAAAGAGAGGGGGGGCAAGAGCGATAGCATTTCGATATTGTTGTTGGTGTTCATGCTGATGTCGAAATTCACAGTCATGACGCGCTCTGCTCTGCTTCCCAGCCATCATCAGCTCCCAGCCCCGGCCATGAGCAGCACAGTAATCGGCAGAGCGTACCGCTGGTCTCCGTTGCAGCAAGGCATTCGCTCACACCTCACTTTTCTGACCACCACCACCACCACCACCATCACCAGGGCATCAGGCCACGAGATTCCTCACAACGTTCAACTACCTATGTTCGCCTCTAGCTGCTACACACCGAGTCTCCCGTAGCGGAACACAAACACCGCCTGGTGGAGATGCATACGTGCATCTACCTATCGGCAACGTGGCACTAATCCCACTCGCTAACCTCTCGAGGAGGAAGATGCAATCCCATTCGCCTGGTTTCGGTCCTCCCATCTCGGCTTGACTGGGAATTTCCCTTGCCAGTCATTCAAGACACTTGCTCTCGTCTCTTCCATTAGTGCGTTGGCCTCGTCATTCCCAATTGAACAGACTCACTCATTCGTTGGCCAGCAACATCAACGGACGGCGTCTTAACATCCCGAGTCCCAACACACCGGATCGTCTTGTACTCTGCACACCTTGCCTTACGTACCGGCTCACCTAACCGTTGAGACGGCGGGTTAAGAGAACCACTAACAACGGCCAAAGAACCCGCTTCCCAGCACTCGAGCGTCACACTAACAATCTCCCGGGAAAGATCATCGTTGACGATGATCGTGCCATGCGACTTCTTCTAACGTGACGCATTGTCGGTGGCGACATCTGCACCGATGCGCCACCAAGTAATCCTGCCAGAGAAGGGGAATAGGTCAACAACACAACTCAGCAGCATTCGACCTTTCGCCCTACTCGAGCCTCCACACAGGCATCTACCTTTCTGGAGAGACCTTCCAGCGATGTACAATTGCCGAGAGTGGACGGTAGATCAAAACAGTTCTCTGGCAGCAGACTGTACAAGTTTCAAGGAACCGCTGCCCACGGGTTCGGGACCGGATCTCTGACTTCTTTTTCTTTTAAAAGAACGGATGGACGAGCCGCCAAACATGCAACCACGGGGCTATGTACCGGCGTCAGACACTCAGTTCGAAAATTGGCCTCTGCTGCCGTCACTGCTTGGATCTTTGGTCGCGAAAAGTACCAGCCAGACAAGAGAAGAAACCAGCGTGACGCCCCCGTTCTTCATGCATATCGCATGCGCAGGGAGCCTTGAAACGGCTGCTTCTCAGCTGGGTAGGTATCTCGAGCTAGCGTCCGTTACACCAACTGCTGAAGAGAAAGAAAGAGAATAAAACTCCCCGAACAAGAAAAAGGAAAATAGCCCCGACGGTCAAACGTGCAGCAGACATGCTGCCACCAGGCACTAACCATGTCCTCCTAGTCTCACAGGCGTTCTTCACTGCAGAATACGAACGGTGGAGCCGTCTTTGGACCGACCCAATTCACCTTTCGGAGGATCTGTAACACGATGAATCGACACGGTTCATGCGAACCAGATTTGACCAACTGACCGGCCGAGCCGTAGATGAGCCGGCCGGCGGCCCGTGAGTTCATAAATGTTTGGTGCCGTTGACGACAAACAGTGGCATGTCAGAAAGCGTCGCGATTCCCATTTCCCCATGCCCTCTGTACTAGGTAGACTGAGATGGTCAAAGTCAACCCGGTCGTGGTAGAGATCAAAGCGGGAGTCGGACACACTTGACCAGATCGGGTAGGTCTCCATGTCTTCGAGAGGGCGGTTGAGCGGGAAGTGGAAAGGGGGGAAGCTTATGGAACAACCCAAGAATCTTTTGTCGGAGCGGGCGCCCCGGCTCGTCGAGGAACTATTACCGGGCAGGTCCCTCCAACCAGTACTGCCAATGCTCCAAGATGATTGCTACCTTTCGGCTTCGGGCGCGGACAATACAGCGTGGTGGTCCTTCGACCCCTGCAAAGTTCTAAGCCAACCAGCAACTCGTCATCCTCCTTTACTGACAGTGAAATTCGTCCATCACATACGACCATTTTGGTGAGCTGCCGTGTTTCAAACGTCGAATACGAATCGAAGCCTCTTCTCCATGAGAAAACATATCGCCGCTTAAGAGAGCCCTAACACGCCCGACGAGAACAACCCCAGCTATTTCACCACCACCCCCTTCCCTCACCCGAAGCAAGGCGTGCCAGAAATTGTGGAAAGAGCACCCCGGCCGTCATCGCAGCGGCCCGTCCGCGTTATTGGAGGATTGCTACGTCCGGATCTCGTCTCGGAGCCGGTGGCTAAATAGCCACACTTCTACCCTGCCATCTGTCGCCAGGCTGAACTGAAATGCGCCTTCGTCAAGCATCCCACGTCGTGGTCACTGTTGACCTGGTGACGCTCATCGGTTCCCTGTGTCTCACATAAACTGGGAAATACATTGGCTCAGATGCCAGGGACCGTGTTAGTCTGGTATGCTGTTTGTCTGTCAGTATCACATCACAGACAGGCCATACAATGATAGCTAACAGCCAGCCTCAGTGACAGGTAATATCTTCTCGGCCCAGGGGTCATCCTGGCGGCCTGCCCGCGCGCTGTTGGCAAAAGGGGGCTCTCACAGCCACCGACGAGATGATACTTCTGCTAAACAACTTTGGGGCTGATGACAAGGCCATTACAACGTGGCTTTCTCTCGAGGCTTACCGTACCAAACCGCGCTTCCAAAGAAGCCGGGAAGGGAACAAAAGGCAATATCCGTAAAGTCTCCCCCTCATTGCACCGCCCTTAGCTAGCCCATGCTCTTTCATTTCCACATGCCCGCGACACGTGGAAGGACAGGATGCGATTTCATAAGGATCACCCACCTTGGCAGTTGCGGTAGCCCCTAGCATCAAGCTCGTCTTGTTCCTGGCCTTGTCCAAAGAGTACTTAGGATCGTCTCCAAGAAAGTTGGAGACTAGACACGCCGCGGGAGACGGTTCAGAACCGCTCCGCCAATGTTCAAAAGCCTTTTGTCTGCTCCGCCTGCGCGTGTTGTGTGCAAGAAATACACTAGAGTACGCGTCGCGCAACACTTCGATGCAACCTTCTCTCTAAAGCGACGGTGAGCCCAGGGCCTGCATCATACCCATGGGCTTGTCGTCGTCGTCGTCGCCGCCGCCACCGCCGCTATTCCTAATAGCGACTTGAACTCCGTTCTCCTTAGGATGCCGCGAGATTTCAAACCCCTGTTCTTTAGCCTCTTGGACCCATGGCACCGATTCCGACTTAAGCCCTCACAGAAAGCCTAAGCTGGTGAACATGTCGCCGGTGATGAGCCAATCAAAGTGAATACAGCTGTGCCCTTGCCGATGATCTTCTACTGCTGCGGTGCAGTCTATGCGAATCGAGGAGATGCGCAGAACATCTTCCCATACAACACGAATCACAGCACCGAATCGAGACTCTGCACCCGATGCTAGAGGTGGCCGCAGCCGCTTGTAGCCAATCAATGACTACCACACGGGATTCCCAGAGTGAAACCAACAATCTCCCATCCAAGCGGCTTGGAAAGGGCGTCGCGCACCCCCTTCTAGGTCAGGCCATCGCGATGCTGTCCAAGATACCTTATCGCCCGAACGGCGCACATATCGCCAACGGATACCTTTGGGGGTGGGGTCCATGTCAACAACATACCTAGCTTATGATAGCTACACAAGTCTGAGTGGAGCTTACGCGATATCAGGCCTTACTGTCCGAATCGATGATATTGAAGGTGGCGGATGAGTTCTTTCTCAATGTGGCAGTTTGCAACAAACGCCCGTCGTCTTTGCCCCCAGCAGCCTCGTGTCCCTTCGCTTGTGCTAGGTATCACGCCGTTTCCGCGCGCACACGGAACGAAACGAACTTTGAACGATGTCGGACGAGGCCATCAGTATGTCCCAGATCTGCTTGCCAGAGCTACACGAACATTTCCCTCTTTTGAGACGGGACGCAGAAACACAGAAAACGCCACATCCAGGGAGCACACATCCTGCAGGTGTCCGACGTCAAAGCTCTCGTCAACAGCTGTCACTGTCCGCGTCCCGTGGACCCTGCAGGAGGCGCCTCCCTTAATCTCCGCGGCCGATCTTGCGCCTGCCGTTGGCCAGGTTGCGTCTTACCCTGGAGAACAAGGCATTGTCGCCTGTATCTCATCAGGTCATGGGAAGAGAAATAGAGAGAAAGAGAGAGAGCTGAGTCTTGCGCTTTGACGCTCAATCAATGTGACCCGTGATGATTAACACGAGGTGGCTAGGGGCCGGTTCCTCCACCTCACTGAGGCAAACCCGAGGTTCTGCAGCCCTTTCGGTCGGTACCTCAACTGAGAAGGGAAATCGTACGTCATATGCTCTTGGTGGAGAACGGAAGTTCAAGGCGCTGTGCCGGTAGATCTCACCCGCACCGCTGCATCTCCCTGACTGGTCGCTGTCTACCGCAGTGGAGAGAGGTTATCGCTAGCTCCTCCCAGACCCCGGTGACTGCGGACTGCGGGCTGCGGGCTGCGGGCTGCGGGCGTCGAAGAACCGGTGGAGAGCCGACTTGGCAGTCTGCCCCGAGCAGCTCGTCAACGATAACGATGTTGAAATGACGATGATCGCGATTTTGTGACGTGTGCCAGGCCCCTGGGCTGATCGGCAAGGCTGATCCAGTCGAAGCAACGGCCCAACATCGAGATAGAGTAAAGGAGGACAGCCGTTGCTTTGGGTTGTAAAGCTTGCGCAGTTTTTTTGCTTCTTTTCCTTCATGCTAGGCTCTCGTGTCACTTGGCCTTTTTTTTGTCTCTCCTGTGGCTCGTCATGGGCCACTGCGCGCAAAACGATTGGCAAGCGAGTGCTCACCGCCATCACTACCCAGTCAAAAGCACACATCCTCCTACTTCCAGCGTTTCTTAGAAAACAAAAAAGGGTTACAGCGGGGGGGGGGGTTCTCCATGGAAGCACCGGCGAACTCATACTTGTCCCACAGGAATGAAGACAGACCGAGACAGGGCCGGGGGGGGCTTCTCGACGGGCATCGCTGTCGCGAGAGCAAGATCCGTGCGACTGCTGAGATGGATCAGATCCAAACCGATGTCTGCGACCTGAGGGCCGGTTCACAGGCACCGGGCAAGGGAAACTGCGGGTCCTCTGGTCCGACCGAAGCTCGAGTCGGCTCGCCAAAGTCGATCCGAAAGACGGGGGCTTGAGGCCTTTAGACCTGGCGTCGGCGGAGAGCGTCGGCGGTCTCGGTACATGTCGGTTTTCGAAACAGGAGGTCTAAGGTATGAGGTCTTGTGTGCTTGGCTACGGAGTGACCGAGTTCGACGGACTCGCGAGGCCAAGAAGAAAGGACGGGGCGTTGGCGTTTTGGTCTGGTGTAAACAGCCAAGCGTCATGCGAGTCCTCGAGCTCTGCTTCCGTCGAACCCAGTTGCTCTCGTGATATCGGTTCGTTGTTGAGACACGCAGTGGAGGGAGCTTGGTCGTCCGCATCTCCTCTGCGCGGGCCATCTCGCCTGTCTGTGTGTTTCAGTATGCTCGTCTAGAGTGAGCTGAGCTGAGATACTATGATGATTATACTGTGTTCATCCGACTGTGTTAAGACTACCATTGCGTGCCTGTGCGACTTCGAGAGGGAAGGCCTTGAAGACGTATCTCGGCTGAGCTGAGATACGTTACCAACGCGGTCGCATGTAAGGTGAAGTGAGTTGAACGTGGTTCACTGCCAAATCTTGGGATATGGGTATTTTTCTTCTTTTTTTTCTTTTTTTTCTTTCTTCTTCTCTTGTTTAGCCTTAATGCAATACCAACCTCAGCCACAATTCCTCTTACTCTTATCGTCTCGAACGTCTAGATAGAGCTGTCTTTCCTCCCGCAGATGAAAGTTGTGTATCTAGGTCGTGTCTGCTTTGTTGAGTTGAAAGTCACACGTCAATGGTTGCGAGAGCCTCGAGTATCACCAAAGCCGGCGGTCAGGGAGAGGTGAAACCAGGCCCCAAGGGTTGCGCTGCCTTGTTGCTTCTCTCGTCCAGTCCATCCACGGCTCGCTTGCTTCCCAACAGAGTAGGCTGTTTGCCCCGTCCTTTGCCATGTATATGAGAGGACCGCGCTTGGTCGTCCCAGGACAGGCGGTGAAGGCCAGGCTGAGCCGTCAGGCAACCAACCCTCTCTGTCAGGACGAGAACTCTGCTCCAACAGTTATCGAGGGCTTTACCGTTTTGTGTTGTGCCTGACACTTGGAGTGAATCCTGTCCGGTGGCAAAGACCTGGACCGACAGGACGCTGTCTCTTTTCCAGGTTTACAATGGCCAAGCGAGTGATATCATGCCTGTCTGGGATCTTTATTGTAACACATCAGAGCTTCGATTGCTTATAATAAGATGAAGCGATGGTGTCCAGGAGACTTAGGTCCGCGCCGGGAGGCTGACGGGGAGCTGGTGATGGGCGGAAACGTGGGCAATGGGGTACTGAGAGAGCGTGTTCCGGCTTGAATGATTAATTGGTATGCTTCGCTTGATGCCATGCTACAGACTCTCGTGTCAATTGTGTCGTGGTAGAAGTAATACGGATGCAGCAACTGTGCTCCTCCCTCTATGGGCTTGGAGCATTCCGCGTTCTGAGACAAGGGGACTCACCCATTTTGCAGTCCCCGACACAATGACAAATTTATCGACACCCGAGGCTCTTCCGCAGTATGTAGGATAGGCTCGGTCCTGTTCTTTACCCTGCTTGCTATAAAAGAGATGTCGAGATCGTTGATGTAGAAACTAATGTGCTAGTTGGGCGAGAGAGAAGGAGAAGGAGCAGGAGACGAGGGCAGCAAATCTTCCACGCTGTCTGCGAGCCGCTAGGACCTTTAAGAGAGCAGCGGCCTTCATCCATGACAACCCCGGGTCCGAATATGCGCGAAGCGGTAAAGCACGATAGCAAAGCTGTTCCAGGCATATGCTTGTGTAGACTGCCCAGGCAACTGGGGCGATAGGAGCCAGAATGTGGAAAACGCATGCAACGATGAGTGCGTGTTTTTTGCTGCCCGCGCCCGCGGCTTGGGGGCTTTAGATGTCCCGACGAGAAGTTTCATTGTGATTCCACGGTTGGAGATATCCAGCCTGGTTTAAAGAGTTTTGTGATACAGAACGTAACGTGGGCTTGATGACTCAGCTCTCTGTGGGCGATTCTGGACTACAGGTCTTAGGACTCGGGTTCAGCAGGGGACGGGGGTCCTTAGTTCGAATATCGATGGTTCTACATACCTTCTAGTGACCCAGTCTATTTTAGTAGCCGCTAGTAGCTAGCATTAACCACAAATAAGAACATGATATTGGTGTCTCCTAGGGCATGGGGGATTGTGCTTACATTGCTGGTGGTCCGAGGCGATCTGCGGACGTAAGGCTTCCTGAGCGAGGAGAAGAGGCAATTTCCAAGCGGAATGTCGGCAGACATGTATTGAAATGGGGTTTTAAATACGGCTAACAGCTTGCCGAGCACGGTTCTATGCACTACAGCTACTGGGATCGAGCGACGGTATGAGGGGTGTACGCAATGCCTGCTTGGAAATACACCCCGAGTCAGACACCTGGCTTGTACCGTGTGGTTGGTCTGTGAGAGCGCTGGGGATGTTAGTTCGTCGATGACTTTCACCATCTCACAAGGCTGAGAAACGTAGGAAGTAGATGCATCTAATCACGCTATCCCGACTGGAAACAGCCGACTGAAGTGGTAATTCACCTCCACTAGCATTAAAGCTTAATGGGAAGTGTGGAGGCCTGGATGCACACCACTTGCTGCTACCAGTAACCCACATACAGGTTTCGTCTCAGAGTCAGAACACAAACAGGCGCAAGGACAACGAGGGTGCCCTATTAGTTGGTTAGCTGTGCAGAGTGCATACTGTTGAACAGACCATGGCAGCTGAAGACGTGGCGCAACAGAGCCATTCATGTTGATTTGTGCTAGTGATTAGTAGCAAACTTCTTGGATCCACGTATTTCCATACCATGAGTGAATCACGGCTCTTATCGAATCGCTCAGAGTATATATATATATATATATATATATATAGATACATATCGACAAGCCTCCCTCAATGAGTCAGTCCCCTTGCAGGCTGTTATAGAAACCGCTGCAGCACGGATGCCGAGGCTGCTGCCCTCTCCTGCTACTGGGCTATACGCAACTTTGAAGCCTGTCTCCTAGGCTTCTCGCCCAGGTCTCAAACATGCCAAAAAAGCATCACCTCAAACACTACGGAAACAGATGCGCGATGAGGACGGGATCATGTCGAGATGACGTGAGGTTGTTGCGGGTAAGTGGATGGTGGACTTGGCTTAAACCTTGACCTGCTTTTGATAGTCGTAATTGGGGCCCGGTTACATAAAAGCTACTCTTGTGTTGCATCACCGCTTCTCTTGCGATGCCTGATACCCCGTATCGCCCAATGCCGAGTACGAATGTGTTTGCCAAGTTATCGTAGTGGCATCCCCCGTTATTCACCAACGATTCCCGGGGCTAGTGAACTCGTTTCAAACCTTCATTGAGTGATTGACGACTCCCAAACACATGTGGATTCCGGCCACGCGCGGGTGACCCCGCGCCCCAGCCAAAGAAGCCTGCCTTATCGAGCCTCTAAGATAAATTTAGGAGGGGCTGCTCTGGGGCCTGGCATGGATTCACTTGCATAAGTCCGATGGACAAGTGTGATTAAGAGGCACACTCTCTGGGTTTCCTAGGTATATCAAGCTACCCACCCGTTGTTGGGTAGCATTGACACAATCTCGCAGCGTCTCCACACTGACCACACGCACACGGCCTTTTCAAAACGAAACGCAAGCACGCCCTCTACCAAAACACCTGAATCGGCATCTGTGAGAAAATAACAACTTGATTTTCGACAAGTCTCCTCCGGTTCGAAGAAAGGTGACTGAATGTGAGAGATGGCGGTTACGCAAACCGAGAGCGCCCAGCTGGCGAGTCAGCTCGACGGCCGGGTGATGGTCATCCCTGACCTGCGCCGGATGCTCAGCCACTGGCCGTCCGGGAGGAACATCCACGCTCCCGACATTGAGGTGTTGATCAACGACCTTCTGGACAAGGAGTAAGTTGTGTTGGCTCTTTGCGAGGTTTTCGATGTACTGATGCCGTCGTGCAGTGATGCTCCTGCACAAGATATAGCGAATATCAGGGAGGCCAACCCGACGTTGCTTGCGTCCAGGTAAGTTTCGCTTTCGCAAAGGGAAAAAAAAAGGGGAAAAAGAAGAAGATGAAGAAAAAGAAAAAGACCACTTGAACAGCTCGTTCTGACGGCGGCGCAAACAGCCTCTGGCCAGACGTATCAAAAGGAAAGCTCGGCACATTGACGTTTATGGTCCTCTGGCAGGGTAGGCTCGATGACTACATCGAGGCCCTCGAGTATGAAAGCCAAGGCAAGGCGAAGGAGTTTCGCAGCAACGCCAAAGGGTACATTGCGCATTACCTTCAACTCTCAGAGCGGCCCACGGAGCCAGCGATGACACCCATCATCTCGGATTTCCAACCGGTTGCGAAAATGATATGCCAGCAGTACAACAAAGGTGGGTGGCGGCGAGCGGGGTTGTCAGCGCGGCGACTGCGAGCTGACACACTACTCTAGATCAGCGTCGGAAGTTGAAGACCAGCCTCTTTGAGTACATTGATTCAACGGTCCAGGAGATACGCTATATCGACAGTGGTGAGGTGCCGACGGACCTCAAATATGACATGCTTCGTAAAAGGACAGCGGGCACAGGCCCTCTTTGTGCGTTAGCAGAGTGAGTGTTGAGATGATGTTAGGGTGAGATGAGGCTGTGCTGACGGGAGAAGGTTCGCCTCAGGTCTGGAATGGCCATCGACCGTCTTTAACTCTCACCCGTTCAAGATGATGCTGCAGTCGGTCGCCATCGTCGTTGGCCTGTTTGTCGCCCGGAAATGTCGGATTAGAATGGACCCTAAGCTGACGATTGCATGATAGGACGAACGATCTGCTCTCTTTGCGAAAAGAGTTGGTAAGAAACCCCCTCCCCCCCATGTCTTGCGTATGTTGGCGACGACTGACACTTGTGCAGCGCAAAGGGCGAACTCTCAGCGCGGTGCCGGTCCGCCTCTGGAACAACCCGGATGGTGACTTGGAGGCAGTCGTCGGAGAGGTTGTCGATGACATCGAGAAGGCGATCAGGCAATTCGACATTTGCGAACGCAGGCTCGTCAACCAGAGCCAAGCAGACAGCGATACAACACGGCAGATCGCTGCGACGCTCAAGACGATTTGTACCGGGAATTTGACTTGGAGGTTTGTTTCCTGGTAGACACGCTTTCCGCATCAGGTGTCGATGCTAACAAAGGGCAGTCTCGCATCCAGTAGGTACAGTGTCGGCGAACCAGCTGCTGATGGAAGTTTGAGGCAGGAATTGAGGGTTGGCGAACAACGTCATGGGGACGGATGGCGGAAATAAATGGTCATGTATATATAGCGACACGAGGGCGTAACGCTTGAGCTGCCCTCATTAATCAATGATACCCAGTGCCGACATTATTATAGAATGTCTAATCGAAGCGTGCATCTTGACCGTGATGCGGTGAATAGGGGGACGAGGACTTTGAGAGATGATGGTGATTCAGAGGTTTAGAGAAAAAAGGAAGGGGAGGCTTGCTCCTATTGGTGTGGTATGGGTAAGCTACCTACTACTACTACTACTACTACCTACCTAGTACGGAGTAGAATGTCACTTTATGTACCTACATGCAAGTTTGCTTCAAAATGCGACGGGCGTGGAAACGCGGAGATTGTTGCATTGGTCCCAGTGGGGAGTTGTTTGCTGTTTAGGTAGTCTCGGCTGCGCCTAGAAACGCTAGTCTGATGTCATAATAAATTGCGAGATCAGCCAAGCGAATGTCTCAACCTCAACTGGTGAGTGAGTAGGTAGGTAGGCGTGCGCGCGCCCCTCCCAAAGCTTTCAGCTCGGAGGAGCTCCCCCCCCCCCCCAGAAAGTCTCCTCCGCCCCCAACCGTCTGCACCCCCCAAATAACAACATTGCATCCGACATTGTACTCCGTCTCCCATCACCATCGCGGCCTTTCGACCACGCCAATTGATTCGCACAACCACCTCCTTCCTCGATACTCATCACAGCTGACAACAATGGCTTTCCGATTCGCAGCAAGAAGAGTCGCCCTCGCGCGCCCCGCTGTCCCTGCTAGGGCTTTCCACTCGACGCCCCGCGCTTTGGTGAAGACGGGCGACGCCGTGCCCAGCCTCGACGTGCTCGTGGAGAATTCGCCCGGCAACAAGGTCAACCTCGCCGACGAGTTCGCCAAGGTCAACAACGGCCTCATCATCGGTGTCCCCGCTGCCTTCTCGCCCGCGTGCTCGGCGAGCCACATCCCCTCGTACATTAACCACCCCAAGCTTAAGGAGCAGGGCGCCGTGTTTGTCGTCTCCGTCAACGACCCCTTTGTGTAGGTCGCCCCTCGACGGATTGCACGAGAGGGAGATTGACGATGCTGACGACTCGACAGCATGAAGGCTTGGGGTGATCAATTGGACCCCGCTGGCCAGACTGGCGTAGGTTGAACCATTGTTGATGGATATGAGTGAGTGCACAGTGGGTAGCTGACGCGGCGACAGATTCGATTCCTGGGTGACCCCTCGGGCGAATTCACCAAGGCGCTCGAGGTCGACTTCGACAGCAAAGCCATTTTCGGCAACGACCGCAGCAAGCGTTACACTCTTGTTATCGAGAACGGCAAGGTCAAGGAGGCCCACGTCGAGCCCGACAACATTGGCACCAAGGGTGAGATCTGTTCCACTACATTTGATCAGAGGATGGGGCTAACAAGTTCCGCCAGTCTCCTTGGCCGACACGGTCCTGGGTTAAGGGGGTGATGACACATTGGAGCAGGTTGGATGAATAACTAGGTAGACGTTTTGAGTTCGGAGTCATGTACGAACGCAGGAGGTGGATGTATGATGAAAAAGACGAAGAAGAAAAGGCCACACGCAGAGATATAGGCAAACATCAAATATAGCATAAACTATTTGGCGCAAAACGGAAGACGGCAGAGCTGCTGTATTCTAGGGATTGGCACTTGCAGGGAGAGCCAAAACACTGGTTTATCCCATGGCTGGGTATAACGCCTGCACACATCAGCTCCAGAGAAAGAATGGAACGGCCTCATGGTTCGGACGGGACGGAAGCTTTACCGGTGCAGCTGGCCGACCCGGAGGCACCCAGCAAGCTCGTTTGACCGGCGACATCGGAGCCACTTGGTGCCGGGCCGCTCCTGACAAATGCAAGGGGGCGAAATAGCACTGGATGAGAGATGGCGGCTTATCGATGCCTAGTCTGCTAGGTAAGCTGAGGTAACTACTCCGTACCTACGTAGGTAGTGTACCTAGTAGGTAAGGAAAGGCTACGCCGCCTAGACCGAGAAATTCCCGACAGGCCCCCCTGCTTATCGAGCGAGCGAGTGGCGCTCAGGGCAGGCGTGTGAGTCGCCCAGCGTCATGCGCCCGACCAACTCACGACACCAAACCCACCCTTCGCTCAAGTCCGGGTGAGCAAACAGACAAACAGACAGGAGGACAAACAGGGCCAGCCAGGGGCCCGGAGCAAGGGTATGGAACCAGGCCGCAAGGGCCGTGGAGAGATGGTCAGTCACCCGCTCGTTGTAAGACACGATCACTGGTCCAGCACTTTGCCATGACGCTGGCACGGTACGGCACAGCAAGCCTAGTTCGCAATGAGCCACCATCTTGGGCTCTCCCGTCCATGTCCTTGATTCCTTTATATTCTGCCCGGTGTGGTTAAACCCTTACGCATGGCAGAGAAAGCGCAAAACATAATCCTATGCGGCCCAGTGACCTAATCTCAATCCTGCCTTCCCCCTCCCCCCCCGCAAGTTTGCTGTCATCGACCCCGGCTCTAAGTTACGTCTTGAGAGGCCAGGAGAACTTGGTAGATGTCTTCAGTGTATGGAGTATATGAATACCTACCCTAACCTACAGGCATAGTGTAGTCATACCGTTGGCACGTAGCGTCGGTTGTGTGCTTTGCGGATGAGCCCCTTCCAGTCAGCGACTCCGCCCTGTGCCTATGCAGCCTGTTGGTGATCCCCCCCCCCCCCCCCAGTCGAGGGGTACATGGGGTTTCGCATGCATGCCCACCAAGCACCAAGTCACAAGTCATCTGTTCCCAGGCACTCAGCGCAACCAACAGCACATCCGCCCGCTCCATCCAGTCTACCCTACCTATCTGTTCATTATCCCACACATCCCGCATCCCGCAGTCCACTCGTCGCTCACCCCTTCCGCATTCCGGTCTGTTGTCTGCCAGCCAGCGACATTCGAATCACATTACCTAACCTTACCTACCACAATCACCCCTCCCCCGAAAAACCACAGCCGCCGCCGCCTTCGCTCTACACCGCAGGCATCAGACCGAGGTCCTTTCCCTTCATTCCCTGACTAATCTCGTCGACCGACTACGGATACACTACTAGTGTACCTTTTCTCTGCTACTTGCTCACTACCCGCCCCATCCATTCCTTGTACCTGATTGTGGCCTCAGCCTTGGGTCATCGCAGCCTGTAACTTAATCAAGCCCCTCCCCTCCCCTCCACCCTCTCCCGAGTGACTCCCACCCCACGACCGACACAGCGAAACCCCCTCCCTTTCGAGTGACAGGACTTGATCTTCATTTCCGCCACCAAACCTCCCGCCCTCCTCGTTAACCCTCGTCGTTTCCATTAGAGGAAACGCTTCCCTCGCCTCCATTTGTAGTCGGCACCATTCCTCCCACCACGCGGAAGCGAAAGGCCGCTGAGGCGACGATATCCTCCGATACCCAAGACATCTTGCCGAAAAAGAGGATAGCCTCAGCTGCCAAACAGGACGCTCCCCCAACTCCTCTCACCACCGCGAGCAACGGCATGGATTCCGAGGAAGACTTCATGTCAGCTCTCTCGAGCGAGGACGAGATCATGCAGGATGACAGCGGTGAAGACATGTCTGGTCCTGATGGTATACTTACTCCCCCTCCCCCCTGCTACAAGACATCCCTCCTCTCCTACCACGAGCTGACCCCTCTGCTTCTTTTACAGACTTTGACGAGGACGACTTCGATGACGAGCCTGACGCGGACCTGGGCATGATCAAAGACTCGGACACAAAGAAGAAGGTTGCCTACGACATCTCTTTCAAAGTATACGAACCCAAGGACATTCAACGTCAGCAAGATGACATGATCGACGAGGTCAACATGATTCTCAATATCCGAAAGGAAGACGTCGCGATATTGTTGCGGCACTTCAGATGGAACAAAGAGCGTCTTATCGAAGATTACATGGACGGCTCCAACAAAGTCCTCGAGGCAGCCGGACTTGGCTCCAATGTCACCGGTCCGCCCAAACTCGAGGCCATTCCAGGTTTCATGTGCGATATCTGCTGCGAGGACGAGGACGGCCTCCAGACCTTCTCCCTCAAGTGTGGCCACCGATACTGCGTTGACTGCTACCGTCACTACCTTACGCAGAAGATCCGCGAAGAGGGCGAGGCTGCCCGTATCCAGTGCCCTGCTGAGGGATGCGGCCGCATCATCGACTCAAAGTCCCTGGACCTGCTCGTTGCCTCGGACCTCAACTCACGGTACAACGAGCTGCTCAACAGGACATACGTCGAGGACAGGGACACCCTCAAATGGTGTCCGGCACCAGACTGCCCCAACGCCATCGAGTGCGGCATCAAGAAGAAGGATCTGGACAGGATCGTCCCCACAGTTGCTTGTGGCTGCGGTCATCGCTTTTGCTTCGGTTGCATCCTCAACGATCACCAACCGGCACCGTGCGAGCTCGTCAGAAGATGGCTCAAGAAGTGCGCCGATGACTCTGAGACTGCTAACTGGATCTCGGCCAACACCAAAGAGTGCCCCAAATGCAACTCAACAATCGAGAAGAACGGTGGCTGCAACCACATGACGTGCCGCAAGTGCAAGCACGAATTCTGCTGGATGTGTATGGGACTCTGGTCAGAGCACGGAACCAGTTGGTACAACTGCAACCGTTTCGAGGAGAAGAGCGGCACCGAGGCTCGCGACGCGCAAGCCAAGTCGCGCATCTCGCTGGAGCGGTATCTGCACTACTACAATCGCTACGCCAACCATGAACAGTCTGCCAAACTGGACAAGGATATATATCACAAGACGGAAAAGAAGATGGTGCAGCTCCAGACCGCCTCTGGCATGTCGTGGATCGAGGTGCAGTACCTCAACCAAGCTTCACAGACCCTTCAGACATGCCGGCAAACTCTTAAGTGGACATATGCCTTTGCCTTCTACCTGGCGCGGAACAACCTGACCGAGATCTTCGAAGACAACCAGAAGGATCTTGAGATGGCCGTAGAGGCTTTGTCGGAGATGTTTGAGAAGCCTGTTGCGGAGCTCTGTGACAAGAAGCTAAAGGTGGACATTATGGACAAGACGTCGTACTGCAAGAAGCGCCGCATCATCCTGCTCGAAGACACCGCAGATAACCTCGCCAACGGTATGTCATCTTAGCCCTCGTGGCCCTCCTCCTCGCACTATCGGGGTTTTCTTAGCTAACGTTCCCAGGACGATGGACTTTCAACGTCGACTTACACGGCCCCTCGCCAGCAGCCGCCACCAGCAGCCGCCGCTGAGAGAATCCTGCGTGCGATGAGGGCGTCGTGAAGCTTCAATACGGCATTGGGCAACGAGGATGTCATTCGGCCTAGCCTCTTTCTCTCGCGTTGTCCTGCCTACATGTACCAGAGATAGTCACCATAACGATCTCCGTACCTGTTAACGAAACTGGGTTTCGGAGAAAGAATGGCCAGAACACACAGGTGGGATATGGCAAATAGTTTGTTCACGCGAAAGACGACGAAGCGTTGCATCTAACTTGAGGGTGCGTGACTTATCATTGGGTTGCCAGGGACGGCATTATGGGAGGGCGAGAAACAACAGCGCATCATGAGCATTGTGTATGTTATAGGTCTTCAGGTTACACGCCGAGTGTCCCAGGCACAGCGGCTACGGGTTTTTTTTTATGCATCATGCCTTTTTTGGCGAGACCGTGTCTCGGTTTTCAAACACATTTTTTGCCTGCATGCTGCGTGTGTGTATGATTCGAGCTTGGGTCCTGGCGCTTTGCTCTTCACACCAAGCCTGCCGATGCACCGTGCCTGACTCGCGACACAGCGGTTTGCACTTAACTTGCACCGAGCTCTATGACGACGTCTGACGAAAGTTTCGATTTTTTTTTTCTCTTTCTCTTTTCTTAACAGAGAGAGAAAGGAAAAAAGGCCGGTGGGAGGAGGGATGCGATCAGACGACCGCCTTGCCTCCGGCAGCCACGTGGTCATTAACCCGTCTCTCTACCCAACCCATTTGAGGTCTGTCTGGCTGCCGGTCTCGGTCCGTTCCTCTCCACACTCACGACCTTGACACATACGTGTCGGGCTGGAAGGCAGGTGGGCCGGCTCGCTGGCCAGCACACATCGTTGATGGACGGCCAAGAGGCGGGATGAGAAACTCCTTCGGTGAACAAAATGCTTCTCGGCCACGAGATATTCCTATCATCACTACGTAAGACTCCCTACGCCATGGGCTATTGAAATGCATACAAGAAACCGGCTATCCGTCCCTTTATTCCCCTGAATAAACATCGTTTCCTTGGCCCCGCGATGCAGCTTCCTGGTTTCAAGTAACACATGCTCCTTGATCAGTAGCAACTTCGACGGTCCATAATGACCTTGTGGCCGTCAAGTATGGTTGTCGGCCCAAACGCCCAACATTGGTAGACATGCCCCATCTATCTGGGACACCTAAAACGCCTCACAGTCGTATACCCTGGTGCGTTGTCGCCCGCTGGCTAGCGCCATGAGCTTGCACCTTGAATGGTGCGTAACTGCTGAAACGCCTGCTTCCGCAATTAATAGAACAGAATAATGACGCAACGTGTATGGGTATCGTATCGAACATTGTAGTTGTTGATAATCATTCAGTTATACACGAACCGGGATAGGTTCAAAGCTTTGGGTCGCGAGTCCTCGTCCATGGCGCCAAGCCCCCCTGAAAAGACATCATCTTCATTCTCGCCGTCGCTATCGGGGATGATCTGATCTTCGCTTCCGCATGGTGCGTTCAGCGCCTCAACCTCGGCCAGATTAACCTTGGGCAGGGGTACGAATGAGGGGTTGACGGGCATCGACTTGAGGAGCCGGCTCTTCCGGGGACTGCGCTTCGGACTCCGCTGGATCGAACCCTTAGTGGGAGACAGGGGCCGGCGAGTAGACGCGTTCTTGCGTTGGAGAGCACGGCATCCCATGCGCTGGAGCGGGGTGAGAAGCGGGGTGGCCTTGGAAGAGGTGCCAGCTGCGAACGAGCCAGCAGAGAATGTGATCGACGATGGTGCAGTAGAGGGAGCGCCGCTTGAAGGCGTGAAGATGGATGAGTGCTGGGAGACGGTGGTGGACGGCGTATCAGGCTGACTGGAAGAGGCAGGACTTGGCTGAGAGTTGAGAGCGAATCGCTGCAAAGACGTGCGTCTGGACGTCTTCTCGGGCAACGATGAGGTAGGCTTGTTTGGCTCGGTGCCCTCGGTCTCGGACAGATCAGTCTGTGGCGTTGTTGCTATCTCCTCGTCTTTGCTGAATTGGCTGTCCGTGGCTGTAGTCGCCTCCGTGCCCGTATCTGTGCTCTGGCTCTCTTCAAAGACGGCGATCGACTTCGGCTTCGGGGCACGCCATCCGTCAGTATCTGGCAGATTGAGTAGTGCCTCATCAATAGAGTCATCTGAGAACAGGAAGCTGTCCTTCTTGCTCTTGTTGGCGTCGCTTCCGCTTTGGGGGAAGAACTTGCTCTTTTGGGATTCCTCAGGCTTGGTTTCGGTAGTGTCGGTGTCCGCGCAGAGACGAACCTTCTTGGGCGGTCGTTGGGAGCTGCTTCTCATTAGGGTATCGATATCGTCTAGGGTATTTGCTGCGTCGCCAATCGTGACTCGGCGGGACTCGCCAGAGCTTCCAAGGGCATTCGGTTCCAGGAGATTCTGGATGGGTTCGGTCCGTCGTCGTGTTAGGCGAGGAGAAGTAATAGAGCGGACGGTTCGTGTTGGCCGGGGGCTAGCTGCTGGTTGTGATGATGACGTCCCCTGGAGATAAGGTCTAGGCAACGGGAAGACGCGAGGGACAAGGCCGTTGTGGGTGAGGGCAGCAACCCTTTCCGGGTCGACCGAGAAGCAGTTGCGATCCATTTCGCCCATTGGGATGCGCTGATGACCCTTGAAGTACGAGTCAATCGGCTTTATGGGGGCTCTCGTACGAGTCGAGGCTGAAGAGGCAGCCGCAATAGCCTCTGCGGACTGAGAGTGTCTCCTTTTGGCATCGGTCTTTGAGCCAGGCATAGGTGCAGGGATAATGGTCTCTTTGGTAATGGGGTTGACGTCTCCAACTGCAATGGCAGTGGCCAAGTCAGGCTCGACATAACCGCCAATGAACGGCATGTCCTCGACACCCTTGTCCTCTTCAGGTTCCGTCAAGCAGACCAACTGCTTCTTCTTCGGACAGTAGACTCTCTGGTGGAGGAAGGTAAGCTCCGCCTGGGCAAACCGCGACATGTAGTTCTCCGAAACGCGATGCTTCCCCTCGAATTGGATCATCCGGACCAAACGTTCAGGGGTTTTGTACTTGCGCATCATCCGGTACGCCGTCTTGAGGCCCATGTTGTTGATGCCCTCAAGGTAGTCGCAGCCGCTGAAAATGGCCATGCGGCGGAAGTCGGTGTCGGTCCATCCCGTCAGGGAAACTTCCCGAACGGCACAAAAGTCCCTCCGGTTGATCTCGATGCAGTTTCCGTACTGATCAAGCTTGGTCAAAAGGCGCTTGCATCCGAAGACCAAGAGATCGGAGTCCTCCGAGAGGATGCCGGCAATGAGGCCTTGTCGTTCGAGGTAGACGAGCTGGGCGTCAGCTTCGTACGGTGCAACGACGTACGGGAGGTCCATCTTCTTCAATTCGTCAATGAGATTGCGAGCCATCTCTGGTGTGACATCGATGGCCTTTTGAAACTCAAGGGCTGCTTGCGACGACTTGCCGGCCTTGAGGAGCTCCATAGCCGACTTCTTGCTATCCTCGCGGCGTTTGGCGCGAGATCCTTCGGTGGCAGCTTTGCTGGGAAGGAAGTCGCCGTCAAAGACCAGGTAAGGTGTGACGCCAAAATGCTTGAGCATTCTCACTCGGTGCATGGCGAAGTCGACATATCTGGGTGCAGTGTCAGGTAAGGTGCAAACAAACCAGCGGGCGCATAGCTCAAAAGGGCCGGATGGAGCGCTAGGCTAGGGCGACACTCACTTGCGGGTGGGGTTGCCTTTGGCCAAGTCAACGGCACAGGCAATGGCACCGCGATGAAGCCATCCGTAGGCGTCAACGCCGAGCGTCTCGCCGGCGAACTTCTTCAGCTCGGTTGGCCTGTGGATGGACTTGAGAAGCGGGAGAAGACCTGTGGTGGCGACAATGAGTAAAGAAACGTCTTGACCGAAATCAAGGGATAGGCAAAGTACCTGAGACGCCCATTATTGACCTCAAGGAAACAACTCGCAAGTCCTCACAGAGTGCAGAAGCCTTCCGCGATCTCGAGGACTTGAAGTTTCGCTCTCTCTCGGATCCGAATCACAGGCCAAACAGCCGGGCAAACAATGTGCGATCAATGTTCAGTCCATCCGTCGAGAGGCGACACGCGTGAAGAGAGGGATCGCGTTGGAGGATGGGGGAGTCGGAACGCCAAGTCAGGTGATCGGAGAGGCAAATGTAAACAAAGCTAACAGGGGCGACAGTGGATGGGTGTGCAAGGGCGACTGATTGGACTTTGCCACGCGACGAAGGGCTGGGAAGTGAGGGGATTGAAGTCGGCAGAGATTCACCGCAATGCTGAGTTCGGAGGAGTGAAGGTGTGCAGGTGGAGTGAAGTACGGCTTCCTGCACGGGAAAGGGACGGTGTATCGCCCGGGGTGGGAAGAGGGGACCTGACCTTGCTATATTGGAATTGGGACGCGGGTGGTGCCCATACCACATTCGCGTCAAGCCCCATATCGCGACTCTCTCTCTTTCCTTTTCTTTTTTTCCTTTTTTTTCCCTCCTCCGCTTGAGCAAGGCCGGGGCTGGGCTTGAAATCGCCTGAAGAGGCTTAGCGTTCATGATCCATATCCTGTATTTCTGGATGGTGGGACATGTATCCGTACCTAGGTAAGTACCTAAGTACCCAACGTCACTACATTCCTTTCTGGCTGAAGACCATTGGACCCTCCTTCCGCCAAGTGGGGCCTCTTTGTCCTTTTTTTGTCATGTCGTCCGTGTGTCGTTCACAGCACAGAAGAGCTGGATGGGATTTTCATCTACCTAGTGGGGGCACAGACCGACTCTCATAGAGCAGAGCTATTTTCATCTACCTCTCAGCAACCTTGATTATCCCGTACCCTGTATACCTCACTTCAAACATATCACAAGTCTTCTCTCCGTCAAGATGCCCTCAACATTACAAAAGGCCCGTAAGCACATTGCGAAGAAGCGAAACGGCCACGACCTAGCCCTCCATGAGTACTCCAGAGACTCAAAGCGCCTTCACAAGGCGTCCATAAGAGATCAGAAGCTGGAAAAGCTTCACGCTTCGAGGAATAAGAAGGAGCAGCCGCTGCGTAAGACGAAATGATTGCTTCGAGTAACCATGTCACTACTAATCAAGGCTGACATCTGGTAGTTGACCGTGCTCGTTACTTTCAAAAGGCTGTCCAGGAAAACAAGTCCGAGCCCCTCGAGCTGGCCGCCATCCAGAAGCTAATCCATAAGTCTGTCCCTGCACTCACAGCTCATGGTCCATACGAACCAAGACTGACATTCACGCAGGTTTGTGCACCAGTATGATGAGGAGTACGCCGAGGTCAAGAAGACCCGTCGGCCGGGACGCCCTGCGAGCCCCAAGGAGGACTTGCTGAAGCAGAAAATTGCAAACCTTGAAGAGGAGTACAGGATTGGGTTCTGTCAGTGGCCATCAAATGGCGCTCCATATTCTCGCCCTAGTCTCTATCTTCTAACATGATTACAGACCTTCCCGACCTATTGGATGCGTCCAACACACTCGTGCTCGATCGCTGGGAGGGCTCATGGTCTTACCTGACCTCGGTCGCCTGGGTCAAGATCACAAGCGATGGAAACATCAAGAAGTCCAGCTTCCCGCCCACGGGTAGCTCTTGAGGACAACCGGTTTTGCCCAGGCGTTTTTGGCGTTCGGAGGAGGTCGTATTAGGCCGTGAATAGGTCTGGCTCTGGGGCGAGGGGGAGAAACCCCCAGCGACTTGATTGAGGCAAAAAAGAGGGGTTCGCATCGTCTCTGTTTTCTGTGTGCAAGTTCCAGGACGTCGCAAGCTGTAGGAGACGGGGGATGCCCGCAGAAGGTGTCTCAGACAAGCATGCGCTGTATCCGGAGACTCGTTTGGCCAATAGCCAATCTCCTCCTCCTGTTACACACAGCAGCCGTACAGGCCGAGAGACGAAGGCGGGCGATTGCTCTGCCCACATCGAACACGCCCGATAAAACCACTGGTTGTTCGGCTGCATCATAACTTGCGTCTTACGCCGTCACACAAAAGGGGTCGAGGAAGCGTCAGACCTGACGAGCCTGTGGCGTCAATGGAGATTGTGCCGCATCAATAGCCTTACGGGACGCATGTAATGTCAGAGATTGGGCCACATTATGTAAAAGTCAACGCAGTGGCCTGCTTGAAACACTCCCGACACATGTCGTCGACGAGCCTCGAGTACACTGCGTAAAACCCGGAAGGGCAGTATAACATCATGTCTTTGCTCCCAATCGTCAGCGATCGAGGTTCCATGTTACACAACTCAAGTGAAAATGATGCCGGAAGCCGGGTTTACGAACCCCCGGCTCAGTCTCTAACCCCATGCCCACTTACAACTTTCCGTGTCTTGAGTGATCAGTATGCATCGACCTGCCCCAAGCCTTCTGACCCAGATGAATGGAACCACGTTGTTCGTTAAGCGGAATATGCGCCGTTCCCGTCGCTTTGCCCTCGACGACGAGATCCGGACCCCGGCGGGTCTGGGTGCTACATTGCACGGCCGACATCCATTCCACTCATCATTCTTATGAGCCTCGAAGCGGTTACACGCTCGCAAGGAGCTGTGCGGTTAAGATGGTTCCATTTACTATACTCGACCCCTGGATCATCGGCCTCGAATGTGAGGGATGTGGTAGGCGGTGTTGTAGAATGTCGCAGCCTGAAGGTTTGGGAAACCGAGCGCCTAATGAAATGGTCCTCTCTTGATGACGGTATCACAATCTGGGCTGGGCCCTTTATGGGCAGTATGGTTGGAAGCCCCTTAGGGACGCGACGTTCTGCTGGCTTCTCGAGTATATCATCTACCGGGATTGCCGGCGAACAATTCTCGTGATGCCAGACGACACCATTGTTCCCGAAAAGCCTGCTGTCGTGCAGGTGTATCCAACAAACCTCTCGCTGATATACAAGTATCGTCCTCTTGCCCTACTGTTCCTTGATCCTCCCCAAGTAAGTCCAACTTGAGTGAGTGTTCTTGAGAACAATACTGATGAAAGTAGAAATATGTGTAAATACGTCAGTCACATCCGCGTCTGCAACCTGTGCAACCACCATGACACGGTTCTTATATCGGAGAGGCTCTGTGTACTAGCAAAGCAGAGCGGAGGCTTTGGGAGTTGTGATACTGGAATAAGTAGTGACAACAACAGCACAAGTAACCGTTGTTGGAAATGCAAAGAGAGAACCCGACGCATCCCTTGTGCGTCACCGGCATTACGGCACGTTAGTCTTCCTTGAAGAAGGCGTCGATGATGGGATAGAGTAGGAGACGAGGGTCACATTCAAGTTGGTTAATGGATTCAGGGCTGCGGGTCAGCTATTCATGTCTTGTCAGTGCCATTTGAAGAGCCTCGAACGTCGCTAAAGTGTGATGATGATTTTGTACAGCTGGTCTGGCCATCGCGGCATCCACATCCAGGCCGTCGAGGGACGGCCAGCAGGAACATAGATTCGTCGCAGTACGGATAATGTCATCCCAAATGATAATCTGGTGGACCCTTCTACTACCCGATCGAAACTAGCCCTTGGAATCAAACGACCAGAATCTGTGGATAGGTAGCTGGATCCTGTGGAGTTGACATCCTTTGTTTGTACCTGGATTCTCACAGGGCACTTTGCGGTCGGGCGGTGAAGCGCACGTCGGAAAAAGGTATTGCCGGGATTCTGGGCTGATGTCAAAAAAATAAAAAAAATTGGGAGCTCCCAGGTTGTGTTCGCAGCTACTGCTACTGCCTTCGATCCAATTCTCCACCACCTTTTTTCCAACAAGCTTTTCCACCTCTTCTTGTGAAATAACTTGTAGCATCTCAATAATCACTTCGGAAATCCGCCATAATGCTTTCCATCAGGACCATTGCGCGCTCTGCGCCCAGAACCTTCTCCCGCCTCTCCCTCAGACAGTCAGTGGCGCGCCCGAGTGCTTTCTTCAAGGCCTCTTCATGGAGCCCTGCTGTCCAGACCCAGCGCGCATCCGCCTTCTCCAGCTCCGCTTTCAGGAAAGCGGCTGCTGGCGAGACTGATTCCGAGCTCGTCGCCAAGCTTGACAGTGAGCTTCAGTTTGAGGAGGAGGTTAAGCAGAATGAGCAGCTCCCCGCCAGCGTTAAGGACTTCATCGACAACAGCCCCTTCGAGATCCACGACATCCCCGGCAAGGAGGAAGTCAAGCTGACTCGCAGCTTCGGAGAGGAGAAGTGAGTTTTTTTTATTTACTTGAATGGCCCTTCTCAGGACAGTTGGCTAACAAAACAAAATCTAGGATCACCATTACCTTCTCCATCGCCGACCTCGCCAACTACGATCCCGAGATGTACGAGAATGACCGCGCTCTTGAGGATGAGGAGTTCGACTCCGACATCCAGAACTCCAACAAGCAGAGTGGCGTCCAGGCATCCGGCGGCGCTCGCTCCGCCAACGCCGAGGAGCAGCTGGAGGAGGAGGAGGGCGACCTCGATGAGGCCGCTCCCCCTTGCCGCTTGAGCATCGTTGTTGAGAAGCCCGGAAAGACCCCCGGCGCGCTCAACATCGACGCCACTGCTCAGGACGGCGCCATTGTCGTCGACAACATGTTCTACTACGAGGACGGCAAGCTCGCCCACGCCGCTAACGCTGAGGTCGCCCACGCCCGCAGCGACATCTACCCTGGACCCCCCTTCGGCAGCCTCGACGAGGACCTTCAGATCCTGATGGAGCGCTACCTCGAGGAGCGCGGCATCACCCAGGCCCTGGCTGTCTTCGCGCCCGATTACATTGACGTCAAGGAGCAGCGCGAGTACGTCCGGTGGTTGAACAACGTCAAGGGCTTCGTCAGCGCCTAAATTCGGGACGACCAGGACCCAATCACACATGAGCGAAAATAAGGATCAAAATCTGGGAGGAGAGGCTTGAACGATGTATGATGGCGGACGTGCGCGCGTGGGCGCGAGAAGTGTAAGATGATACGAAATTCCCATGGAAACGGAACCTTCTTGGCTTGTCTTATACCTGTTTCCACTCTACGATGTACCATACCATGGCCTGGCTGGCTTGCCCGTTGCCGACATAACAAACTGTAATAACAAAAAAAACTTCCATGCACATACGTTCATTGTCCTGAAACCTGTACCGAGCGGAGCTTGGTGTCAGTTACCGCCCAAACGCACTATGGCATCTCTCTTATCGTGGCTGGAGAGGACCACTCTTGGCTTTGGCCTTCGTCGTGATTCTGCTTCGGCGGATGGCGGGCGACCAGACTCCTCGAATCCCCGCACACGGGACCTTCTTATACTTGGGTAATCCAGACTGTAAGTGAGGCTTCTATAGGGACGGCTTGCATATTCACCTCCCGCGGAGCTAGGTTGTGCTTTTATCGCAACAAAAACCGCCAATGTCTGCAGAGAAGCACCGTGGCTGCCACAGAACTCAAGTTATTTGGCAGCGACAACCAACTTTTCTTTACACAAGAAAAGGGCAAAGAATGAGGACGGTAAGTTGTGCTTGAGAGGAATTCATAATCAAGGCGTCAGGAAGGACCAGCTCGCTTTGTGATGATGCAAATGACAGGCATCCTATTCGTTATATGATGGGGTAACTCAAGATGGATCAGTGCTTTATCGAAACGTGCTTCGGGCCAGGAACTACCGGCCGATACCTGTAATAAGAAACATCGAGAAAGAGCATGCGGAGAGCTGCCGGTGTTCCCAAGAACTCGACAGCAGGATGTGTTCCGCCGGGTCGGGTTCTGTCGTTGACCATGATCCGAACTCCCCTGCCCCAAAGCGGCTGCCAACGCTCACCCACTTCGTTCAAGATGTGCTCTTTTATTAGGAAAGTTCCGAGCACGGTGAAGAGGCCAACGTCGACAGGCACGATCTGCCCCGTAGCTGGTGATGCGGAAGTGGCAGACCTAGCGCTGACGGTCAACGAGGTTAGGACTTTGAGATCGGGAAAGCTCAAAATGAGCCGAATCTGCCGGGAACCCACATGTTAGCAATGACAAAATACCACAGATCGCGGCAACCTCGACGCCGCGGAGGAGGGAAAGGTCTTCGACCCTGTTGGACATTGATAATTGGACTTCTAGGCGCGTGAATCTCGGCATTTATCCGAGGCAAATATGCCTAGTTTCGGGTAAACCCGAGTGAAATTGCATCGGCCTTCTGATTCAACAATCTGGCCTCACTTCTCAATCCTAGGACAGTGCCGGTGGGTCGTTCTGCGTGCTCTTCTGTTGACCTGGGAGAGTGAGCATAAGAGGCTGAAGCATCCGAGGCGCCTAGCATCGCATGGAGAGGGAACCTCATTCTCGAGCCCTAGAGGTTGAAAACCCAATTGCCTATCGCCATTCACTGTACTGCACGGTTAGATCATCCGTATCTCGCGGTTCACGCGGGAATCATGCTCTGCATTTTCAATGGCTGCGTCCACAACTCAAAACGGAGGTTGACACCAGGCACGGAATGAGGATGGTCGGAACGCGAATTGTCTGGATGAGGAGGGAAATCGACATCTTGTTTGGAGATGAAGAGGACCGATATCCTTGCTTTTGGATATATGAAGGTGCAGAGTCGGCAAGCCGGGTTTCCGGAAGGACCGCGTTATATGGCTAGATGAATGTCAGGTCAGCGAGTGCAGATTAGCCGCGAAGCAGCAGGGCAGCTGTCACTATGAAGACGGAGCATTATGAGAAAACTTGAGGCATAATATCAAGTTCGAATTCGACACGATGGTTAGACTGGCAATGACAGCGGTGATGATACGTGACAAAAGCCACGTTATAGCTGCATTGCACCATTGGAGCCAACCAGCTTCCCAATATAACTGGGATAAGTTCAACCAACATCCTGATACAAACCTCCACGACAATCAAGACAATCAAGACAATCAAGACAACCAAGACAACCAAGACAATCTATTCAATATAACATATATTGCAAGACGCAGTCCAAAGGCTCAAAAATGTCGGCAATCATGTGGCATCACAGCTTTGTTCTCTAAGAGTACGCTTGAAACAAAAATTTCTTTTTCAAAGAAAGTTTCCCTAACAGAAAAATCTCCAGAAACAAAAAAATAGGGCATCGTGAGCTAGTTCTCTATATCTCGTTATCTGGCCATCATAAAAATCCACCCAAAGTCGCGGCAGAGAAAGAAGACCCGTGATCTAACCCCTTTTCCCATTCCCAACCTGCTGATCCCAGCCTTCTGAAGTCGAGTTGCGGAAAGGAGTATTTCGATCTGGGTATAAAATTTTGTGCAAGAACTTTTTTTTTTTAAAAAAAAAGAAGAAGAAGAGAGAAAAGAAGTTTAGGGCTTCGGCCCAGCCAAGCTACCAGCCAGAACAGGTCCCATGCCATGTTATGACTGCATCATCTTCTTCATCTAGAAAACACCGTGCCGACCTGGCTCCGGCCTTGCGTCGATGTTTAATAAGGCTTCTGGCCGATGCTGTAGGGCTGATCAGCTTCCTGCAACAAGAGCGGATCTACGATTTCGAGACTTACAAGTTGCCAGGGGGCGAGTAGCGCGCGACGACGTAGGTGCCCTGAGAGTTGGAGGCAACAGCCAGGCCGACCTTGGTGGTGCTCTCCCAGACGATCTGGGTGTAGTGACCGAAGCCCATGTAGTTGGTTTCGCTGATGGTGTCGCCCTTGTAATCTTCCTTCTCCTTGATCCAGGCGTCGGCGGCGTTGACGTTGGGGCTGTCCTCGTTCGACTGCATGTACAGGTTCTCGCCCTGGTTGGCGGTCTGAGAGTGCGTCAGGGAGCCGACAGAGAGCAGGTGGTTGGCCCACTCCAGGGCGTCGGCGGCGAGGGAGTCATCCCACTCGAGAGGAGAGACGCCGACATCGCTGCGGGCGGCGTTGTGGGCGTCGAGGGCGGCCTTCTGGTCGGTGGTCAGACCGGAAGAGCCAGGGGAACCGCTGGAGGCGGTGGTCGTGGGGGCTGGGGCGGAAGGGGGAGCGGGATCCTCCTCGACGGGAGCCGGTGTGACGGCCGGGGCGGAGGGGTCGTCAGTGGGAGCGGGAACGATAACGGTGGTTACGGCGCCCTCGTGGCCCGGGTAACTACCCCAACCCCAGGATCCGGAGGGACGGCCGGGCCTCCAGGCGGCAGCCTGAGTTGCAAGAGCGGCAACAGCAACGACGGAGAAACGCATTTTGACGGTTTGAGGATTTCCGAAGGAGGACAGGAATCACCGGGACTGTTGGATGCTGAAAAGAATGAGAGAACCGGGGGTGGAACCTGCCAAGGCGTCGATAGAGCAAACCGTTGAGGGTGTAAAAAGGAGTGACTGGCGCTCAAGATGGGTGGAATGAGAGTGTGTACCTTAGGTGACGAGAAAGGATAGGCAACTAGAGAGAAAAGCAATCACGTTGGCAAGTTATATATTCCACATTTCCTGTCCATTTGCCTGCCTCCACAGTCCTCCTGAGGTCGGGAGACTTTACCGATGCGGTATTAAACATGACACAGAGATGATCTCCCGCATGCAGGTCTCCACATCAACGCTAGATGTTAAAGGGAAGGATTGTCGTCTCACCATTTCGTCGCCCTTTCGGCCTTGTGGAAGCCTACTGCACAGTAGTCCCGTCCTCCTCGAAGTCTAATACCGGGGAGGTTAGCCCGGGGAAGCCCAGCCCGGAAGGGACGGACTGTATTGCGTGTATAGGTCGGCCCAGAACCACGGAGGCGTTGAGGTTGGAGAACGACTAGGGAACCACGGACTCGGTGCTGTGGACCGCATTCGTTGTATTGAAATTCGACAGGGCGCTCATAACCCCTGTCATGACAACCAAGTATCTCAATGTTTCCAAGAAATTATCTGGGACGTAGCCCTACCAGATTATGTCATGTCTGTGGATTAGTTGTTGCCGGTAAATGTAAGGGACCACTTGTGGGGTCGAGCTTTCGATCGAGGCGACGGCCCATAAACAAGGGATGACTTCTCACAACTCCCTTCAGGCTTCTCGTTCAATCATTGTCTTTGACTTTGGCTTTTCTGCCTGCTCTTCTTTGTGTGCTAGTTGCCTAGCTTCTCGACCCTGCTTAGATGGCTGAAAAGTATTACACTCCGTAATCCCGTTGTGTTTTGTTCACCCAAGCCGGGACGCCCTCCCCACCTCATTTCTTCTCTGACACTCTCGCTCTCGTCTAATTCTCTCAGTTGCAGGCGTCGGACATTATCCAACTATGCATTGCAGATCCCAGCCAAACGGAACAAGACACCCAAGGCCGTCGTGGAGCAGATTCATTTGCCCCTCCCGGCATGGACTCCCCTGTGAGTGCGGGGTACGGCCAATCAAGGTGTGCACCATTGCTTCTTTGTTTCTTGTTAGATAATACTATGTAGACAGCTCCAAACCCTAGCTCGAGTAGGCTGGTTCAGGGACAAAGACAAATATGACACTACATTCTTCGCCATCCGAGTCTATTGCGGTCGAGGTCATCTTGGCTTCAAGCTCCCTCCCGCCCTTTCCCCTCTAATCCCTAGGTTCGGACCGGGCTTATCTTGGGTGACCCTGACAGACGCCGCGGCTTGCTAGCGGCCAAGATTGATGGCAATGTCGCACGGGCCGGCGTGCCACATTCCCACGCGGTCGAACCCGACTTGTCGGCATGGTTGGTTGAAGAACAGTTCGTCTTATGTAAACAACAGGCCAACATCTTTGCACAACCCGTCGGATCTTTGCTTATTCCCACTCTCCTGAAGAACATATCCCAACGAAACAAAACAGAACATAGAAAAAGAAAAGGAACAACTCGTTTGATTTCTCGTTGGCAAGTTCAGGATACATAGACTTTGAAATAAATCGCTTTTGTTACTGAATTTAGCCTAGCAATGTCTCTTGTCGTCGACTTACACCACGTTTATATCGTGGTGTATGTGCTGTGTTTTATAGGTCCCGTGGTGGTGGGGCCCCGAGATTACACTACGAGGCCGACATGCCTAGCCTCAGCCTGGTTACATCCCGCCGGCCGCACCTCCTTGTGGCCCTCATTGCGATTCGAGACATCTATATATCTGATACGCCGGCTTGGATTGATATTGCGCGCCCACATAACTTCATCTCCTTTTCGTCCTTCCCCCAGTTCAGCTGTGTTGGCCAGCATCTAGGCTTCGGCCATGCGGATTTTGCATCGGAGTTTTGGCATGCTACTTTGGCGAGTCTCATAAAAGCATGGGAGTTCCATGCCACAGTGTCGTGGTTTCCGGTAATAGGGCCGAGATGTTGCTGCTCGCGTATGTTGCTATTGTTGAACTCTCTTCTCTTCTTAGTATTTGGTCTTCGTGAGTGTTGCAAGTGCAGCACCGTCATACAGCAACATAACCTGGGCCAATCAGGCGCTCTGAACAATAACGTTCTTTACGCCAATCGAAAGTTGATGTGTGCAAGCATGGCGCCCCCCTCTTCGGGCTGCCGTCAATACCGAAATCTTTTGTGCTCACATACAACTAACCCTATTGCCCTCCGCCTCTTCCTCCTAGATATTGGGGCAGCGCAAATGAGTATAATAGCACCATTGACCGTGGCTACGACGACTATATTGACGCATCGCTGAGGCCTTGGGGCGATTCGTTAGGGCTAAAAAAATATAAAAAAATAAAAGGCACAAGGACACTGTGACAGCCACAGTAACCGCGATTTTCAGATGCAGAAATACCAATGGGTGTCTGAAGAATCCATGGCATCATGAGCCAACATGATGATAGCAGGTGATACCATGGCGGTCGGAAACTGAAGGCAAATGCTTTTAACTAGTCCAAGATACGGCAACGGTGAGGCCCTAAGATCCACCAACGATGTTAACCGTTCCCTAGAATGCCGAGCTAGAGGTCCCACCAGCTGCTGTCAGATGGTGGCGTGGGAAGGAAAGACATCTTCTTTGAATAATAGCTGGGAATACTTGAGAGACAAGTCTGCACTCAGAGGCTGGTAACAATTGGGCCCGGGATACTCAGTGAGGGCTAGGGAAGGAGTTGATAACCCCCAGGGTTACGACAAAGAGACTAAAAGGACATGGTAGAGGCCAGCAGAGGACAACGAATAATTTCTACACATAGGACCAGATAGTATACTTCATACTATTGAAATGAATTTAAAATGACGTTTCAAAGACGTTGAACCAGCATTGTGTCGGTAGAGTGAGTAGTGGCATTGACGCTCTAAACCTAACGGATAGCCATTATATCAAGACAGAGTGCGGTCTAACACATTTCATCCCCATACTTTCTGTTTCCAAAAGAGTATATTATTACTAGGTGTGTCCCAGGACAGAAGAACAGGTCAGCTGGCAACAGAGAAACAAGTGCCTTGAAAGTATCACTCACTGTACTAAAAAGTGAATGATGGAGTATCTGGTCTACAACCCAGGCGGACAGGCAATGGCTGCTTGGTGAAGTAACAGATGGATAGCAGAGAACATGATTGAACTGGAGAGTTGTCAAAGCACAAGCTGATGCATCAAGCGGTGTGATTCAAATTGTTATTCAAAACCGCTGGTAACTCACGTCGAAACCGCATTCACCACGCTGCGCACAAAAAGCCTGCCACCATATTTCTTGATCCTAGCAAAATCTCATTGGCAGTCTCCTACTCGTTCCTTCCGAATTATTTGCTCTGGCAGCAGTGAATTGTAATCTGCTCTCACAACCAACTCACATCTTCTCGCTCAAGTATATAATTCGGCCTTTTCACAATACTGCAGAAAGTTCCCCTTCTAAATCTTTTTGTCTTTCTATCTTGCCTTTAGAAGAGTGAAGCGACCTGGTATTCCTTTTTAGCATAACAACCAAGACTCACAGTCCACGCATTGGCATCCGCAAACATGGCGATTCAAATCCAACAGCAAGACGTGGTTATCAGCAGCCTGTTCAGGGAGTTTCCGATGGAGATCAAACTCGACATCTTTGAGAAACTCGTCGATAGCGCGTACGCCCAGGTTGCTGCTACCCCTGAGACCTGGATGGTTGACGGATGCGAAGATGCAATCGACCAGATCTACATCATTAACAGCCACATCCCAAGCCAAGACATCCATCTCCGGCGCTTCCAGCTCATACGCGTTGCATCCCAGATCAACAGCACAACACGCGCCCTTGTCAACCGTCGGCTGCCCCGTTTCCCAAGATACTACTACTTCACCCTCTCCGGCAGAGTTTCACTGTCCTTACCCAAGGCCACGTCGCTCCGCCACACCTGGGTCTGTCCCGAGCACGACCGCTTCCGCCTTCAGCCCTCCACCAACCGGTACAACGACGACGGAGACAGAAAGAACACCCTGGAGAGCGCGATCCTGAACGCCATGGGCAAGACCCTCGAGCACATGAAGCACATCCAGAAGGCCCTATACTCGGACAACCTGTTCTTTCACGCCAGAAAGACCGAGATCCAGGCGATCGCGTCGCTGCCGAATCTCAAGTCCATCTGCCTGTGGCCCGGCCCCACGGAGCGCCCCATGCGCCCCGCGGAGCCGCACCTCCACAGCGAGCTGCAGCCCGTCGACCCTAGCATCTACTTCCTGCTGGCGCAGCAGGACCAGATACGGCTCCTTTCGCTGTGGAAGCCGCTGTGGGATGCCGGAGTCCGCATCACCTGCGGCCGGCACTGGTTGAACGAGGAGATAGCGGAGATTGTCCGCACGGACGAGGGGCTGCGCCTGCGGTTCCTACAGGAGGAGTGCAAGTGCTACGAGCCTGCTCAGAGCGATGGCGAGGGTTCCTAGAAACGATAGGAATGTTGGAAAGGGCATCGATTCAGAGGAGGGCGAGGGAGAGTATGAGGAAGGACTGGATTTCCTTTCGTTTCTCTTTGGTGTCGGTAAGATCTCTGCCACCACTGCCACGCAACTTCACGGTTACAGAACTGACACTTGATGATGACAGACGATGCATAGAAACGAGCAGTAATGAATTGGTTTAGGTTGGAGGCATTGGAGAATGGAACGAAAAGTGCGACGCCAAATGCAATTGCAAACAGTTCAGGGTGCATGCAGCGCGTGCCTCAACAAACCTGCTAGGCAGCTCGTCCGCATTTGAGAGATAAATACTAGTTTCCTTGATTAATGCTTTAGAGCTTCCTCCCACATAGTCGAGCTTGGCTGCTCAGAACGTCACTAGTGATGAAAAAAAGAATGAAAAATTAAAATTCACATTGCTTGCCAAACTCCACTCGATTGATTGCATGGTGCGTGTGGTGTATTATACAGGCCCTGCTGTCCCACCCTTCCGTCGCATTCCATATCTTGCCAATACTGTCCACAAGGTTTTCAGAGGCTATAAGTTAATCGTAGCTGGTACCTCTCCTCCATCGGAAGCATGTTCGCAGACAACGCCGAAGACAAAGGCTCAATAAAGAGTCAGTGAAAGGAGCAGGAGAAGATGTCGCGGGATCAAAGAAAGCAAGTCAGCTTTCCGAGTTTACTTAACACCCTCAAAGAGTTTTATTTCCGTCTCAACAATGCGTAAGCCTGGTGATACTTCCAATATACCTTTGGTAGACTACCTTTGACCGCAAGTTAAGGCGTCTGCCGGCAGAAAAGCCCCTGTTCATTCTTGCTGAAGCCACACAGAACTTCAATTCCTATCAACCACCTATTATAGGACGTCTTTCTAGCAGAAACTGAAAAGAAAAAGAAAGGGAAAAGAAAACCTCCAAGAAAAGGCCAACCGGGGGAGAGTGCGGAAAGTAAACGCAGCTGAGTGCGGAAAGTAAACGCAGCTGACCGTTGCGCAATACTGTGTCGTCGATCGTTCCAGTCCACCGCACCGATAATCAAAGAAACCGGGGACAGCGCGGGTGACCCCACCGGAGCGACCCCACCGGAGCCGGGCGGGGCCGGACCAGGGAACAACAGCCCAGATCCGAACTCCCTCCCCCTCCCGTCCCAACACTACGGAGAGTTTCCCGTCCGCGAAGCACAAGACAGAAAACGCCAGCTACCCGCCATCCTTTATGCCCCCGGAAAGTTGAGACCAACGATCAACCCAGAAATAGACCAGCAGACTGGCTGCCTCCTTTCGGACCACCAAACCCCCAAAAGGGAAGAGACAAGCTTACCAACAATGCTTCGCCGTTGGATCCCCTCATCTCATCCGCAAATCATGTATATCTCATAGAACCTTGGCACGCCCCTCCTGTTCGCGTCGAAGCCCAGCAAAACCGCGTGCATCATTTGCCTTTGATCGCCACCTCGGACGAGACAATCAATGCGGATAGATTGTATTAATAAACTCAAAATGAACCCTCTAAAAGATACCAACGCCCAGCCTCCCGCGAAAGGCGTGTTTGTGTATGTATGATATGATTTGCGTAGTGTGCCCCCTCCTCATTCTCCGCTTCGTCACCACGGAGGGCACACTCAAGCGAACGATGCTTCCTCTCTCAGTAACTCCCAAAGGCTCTCTCCGCCCACCCGTTTCCAATCTATCAGCAGTGCAATGTGATGCAGCTGCTCCCGCATCGCCGTGAATATCCTCCCGCTCCGATATGTATGCGCCGCAGCGGGGTTTGTCAACGAGGGAATGGTAGAAAAAGTAAAACAAAAAGGCAGTGCACCAAGTCCTCTTCAAGTCCTGAAACCCATTCTTGTGCCATGACGTCGGCCGTCAAATCAAGAAGGCAGAATGAGGACAGTAGTAGCCAAGCATAAAAAACCCGAGAAGAACCAACAAAGGAAGGGGAAAAAAGGGATAGGAGAATAGAAGCCTGACGCAGCAGCTCCAGCGCTGTGAGTGCAGCTCTCCTAACCCAGCATATCATCTGGAACGTCCAGTTCCACAGACTTGACAATCCAATGATGAAATACTTGCGGTGAGATGGACTGTTATCATACGATGCCGCTCATGTCCCACTCGTTCCTCTGCGCGCGCGCGAGCACCTCGCGACCCTTCTCCGTCAGCTCGGGTTTGCCACCCTCGTCCGTCACCTGCACGAAGAAGACGGGCTTGAAGACCTCGCCGGTACGCTCGCGCTCGCGCGCCAGCTCTCGCTGCTTCTCCTCGAGATCGACCTTGACCTGTGTGGCCTTGGAGAACTGCTTTGCGTGAATGGCCTCGGTGACACCGCCCCACATTGTCAGGGACTCGTTCTCGAGCTGCTTCTCCTTCGGTGGCACAACCTTGGGCGCGACGTTGAGGGGGGCGAGGTCAATGATGGTGTACCTCGCTTCAGGAGGGTGCGAGTTCTGCTTCTGGTCAGCACCTAAGAGGAGAGAGAAAGAGAAAGAAAAAGAGAGAGAGAGGGAGAGAAGAGGGGGAAGGGGCACATACGACTGGCTTCGGACCGAGGGTAAACTCGATCTTTTCGCGCCACGGGCCGCTGAGGCGGGCAACAATATCGGCCTCGGGCACGTCCTTGATGTTCACCTTGTCGTCGTTCTCGGGGTCGTACTTGAAGATGATACCCTCGACGCGGTTCGTGGAGCGGCCGAGCCAGCCAGCCTCGACGTAATGAAGGATCGTCTTGAGCTTTGTCTGCGGACACGTTATGTACGCCATCTCGCTGACGCTGACACTTAGGCTTCCCCTGAGAATACCGCCAAGGTGGGCGGCGGGATGCGTCAGGCGATACGTCTCGCCTCCGCGCTTCTCGAGCGTGATGAAGATGCCGAGGTTGTGCTCGCCGGGCAGAACGCGGACGCTGGTACCAGTGAACTTGGCCGTGATCTGGTCAAACCCACGGGCGGAGAGGCCCTTATCGGGGCAGCTGACGTGGAAGGCGCTCACTGGCGGGTGGTGGGAGGTCTGCTCGGTCAGGTAGGAGATGCGGAGAGGTTTGCTCTCGGGGGTCGAAGTGCCGTGCTGCGGAACGGACAGCGAGACGGCCGATGCGTTCTTGTCGACCTTGGCCGACTTGAAGCTAGACGAGCTGCTGGCAGTGCCACTTCCGGCGCTCTGAAGGGCTGCGGTGTTGATCTTGGGTGCATTATCCTCGATTTCCCAGTTGCACTGTTACGTCGTTGAGAGTCAGCATCACTAGCCATGGTGAAGGCCAGATGTTGCGCAAACCAAGGGGACTCACCCTGAAGAACTCTCCCAGGCACGAGTTGTAGGGCTTGCAAGGCCTGCCCTTGACATACTTGAGGTCCTTTGTGAACCAGAAGCGACAGACCTCGAGCATGCGATCAAGAGGCTCGTCCGAGGTGCCGATGGCGGCGAAGGCGTTGGGCGCATCCAGGTAGTTCCAGTATTCGAGGTTCGGCGTCGGCTCGAGGAGCTGAGACGGAAGAGAGAAGCGCACAGCGGCGAGGTCGGCGACGCCGATGAACCTGGACGGAAGACGCAGTGGATTAGCCGGGTGACCATCTATTTAGAAACAAACGACCCCCAAGAAGAGCGCTCGTCTGTCTGCCTGCATCTGCTTGCTGACGACGCTGATCTTCGCTGGCAATGGATGCGGTTTTACCCCTAGGTAACCACCGCTCGCCGCCGCAACCATGTGGTGTTGCTGTATTGCTCCCGCTCCTCGCAGTGTGCGGCGCATACAGGACTAAACGGCAAAGGGGATCCAGCCGGCAGGGTGGCAAACTCACTTTTTCAGGATACCGATAAAGGTCTTGAGCTTGGAGCCATCGCTCTGAGGCTCCTCGGGTGCGTCGTGCGTAGCCGCGGCAGCCATGGTTGGAATCGTTGCCGTGAAAAGGGGAGGGGGGAAATGGTTCGAAGAGTCGGTCGAGCGGTCGAGATTTGGGTAGGCGATGACGACGACGGTCTCTTTGTTTGGTTGCTCCAAGAAATGCCCAGGCACAGAAAAGCGGCTTGCTGCGATAAGGTGGGGTGCCGAGACCGGCTTGCGGGGTCGAGATGCCGAGCTACAGGCAGGCCACAAAAGTACCGTAGATCGTTGGCGGTAACGGTGCTCGTCGTTGGAAGAAGGTTCGCAACAGAGATTAGAGGCAGAAGGAAACAAGAGAGGATGGGGCCAGAGGGGGCCAAGCAGGGAAGGGGGGGGGGGGGGGGGGATTGATCTCAACGCCCGGTCAAAGATGTGGTGCGGTGAGCGGAATATGTTCGGGGCGAGTGTTTGGCGTGTGTGTGCGTTGAGAGAGCGTGTGCCCGTTTCGTTTCAGTCGTCCCGACTCGTGAGCGCGGCAGCGGAGAAAGGGGTGAAAACACACAGAAAGGAACAAGACCTCTCTGTCTTTTTCTCTGCTTTTTCTTGTCGGTCGAAGAAGTTCGTTCTATCGGATACGTGGGCAAGTTTCGAGCCACGGCGCGAGGTGGTCAAGTGAAGATGCTCGAATGTTTGTACAGCATGTCGCAAACAAATAGGTGTTAGAAAAGGGGCTGTTGGGATTAAGAAGCGAGAATCGAACGCAAACCTAGGCCCGGGAGATACGTAAAAAAAAAAAAGGTCATGCACTGTACTCGAGTGGACATGAAATGGCGAAAGCAGCAGACACATACATAAGTAGGTACGGATACCGCACGGGAAAGAGGAAGCTCCATGCATCGCCGCGGGAAGGCAAGTGGTGACACCGCAGTTCAGCAGAGACGGGTACTTCCAAAGACTGTGCCGTTTACGGGTAAGCACAGTACAAGATATGGTGATATCGCTGGTGAAAATCCCGTAGTCTGATAAGAGCTAGCACTGTCTACTCAAGTCCCGGATCAGACAGCACGGTTTCAGATGCCGCCAGAGCCTATTGAATTCGCCCAGCACCTACCTAGACCTAGTCCGATAAGAGCTGCGATAAGGTCCCGCACGTTCCAAAGCTACATCAGAAACGAGGCCTTGCACCTCTGACTTTTGGCAACGGGTCGACTCCGACCAGTGTACAAGTCAACCGAGAAACCTCAACGTGGCTTCTTTCCTTTGCAGTTTTCCACTACTCCATATACATCGTCGAAACAGAATCCCATGCAAATTTTCTAGCCGCCGCTACCACCGCCATTAAGAGCCATCGATGTCATCCCCTTTCACCCGAAGGAACAAAGGCTGGGTCCGGATCGCCATCTAGTCATGTGCCAGCTACCGCAAGCGCAGGGCGGTCTCGTCCGCCCCCGGGCCGGACATCGGCCAATCATCCGCGCACATGGCCAATCCGCCCGCTGTCACAAGCCCCTCCCAATCTCGATATCGCGAATATCCTTCAACCCGCAAAGCACACACATGGCAGGAACGAGAGGTTGCGGCGGCACGCACCCTGCTCGCCCATCCCGTCACAGGATCCCGAATGCTTCGCTGCCGCCACTTATCTGCTCGAAAGAGGCGAACCGTTTGTGTGGTTGGTAGGTAGGTAGGTAGGTAGGTAAGGGAAGGGATCACACCCGGCCCGGCATTGGGGGTTGTTCCTCCCCCCTGCAGAACTCTCTCGTCCCGTGGCCCGTTGTTTTAACCTTATTTTCCCGAGACATCGACATGAACTACATTCAAGACAGCGCTTGGGACGTTGGGATACGCACATGAGATGAACTCTTTGAAGGCTTCCGAAGGTTGCAGGCCCTCTCCGTATGGCAGGAACACCGTGGGCAGACCAGAGAGGTAGTGAGAGACAAAAGGCCCGGTGCAAACTTGATGCGACGAAGCTCATGAAAGCCACGATTTCAGGAACCCCCACAGTTTGCGTTGACCGCCAAAACGTCGCACGCCCCTTCGACTCTACGAAACCTCCGACCGCCTACCGAAAGCCCATCACGAGCAACTTCTAAGCAAGCCGGGCCTCGTCCAGCCAGCCAACTAGTCCGCCAAGCTGCCGCCCCTGAGCGCGTACGCAATCTCACCCAAACCGGCCGCACGTGTCTTTCGTGCCAGACTAAGACCAAACCCGCATGTCTTAGATAGCTGTGCTGTGGACTTGTCTGGGATGCCGGCATGCACGACCACATTTGCGCCCCCAACTAAGCTAAATCTCCCCACACTCGCACTCCGGGTCAAAGGCCGAACCGGATCCTCGGAGTCAACCTCGGTGCTCATATATAACATTCCCATATGCAATGGACGACCAACGGCCCTACTCCTCCACTCACCGCTGATCACGAGGGCAATACACCCTAGAGCCGCATTCAAGAGTCCCCGCCGTCAACGCCGCCGCCGCCGCCACCCCTTCCGCGTATCTCGTGACCTTATCATCACATGAAGCCATCACGAGACAACAACACGCACCCTGCTACCGTACACCTACACTTACACCATCCGTCATCTCTCTCCCACCCCTGAGAGGGTGTGCATTATCTAACCACTATATCTGTGAGCTTTCTACGGTTCACTGGAATGCTGCTGCGGCTGCAACTATTGCTGCTGCAGATCCTCTGGTTGAACCCCTCTTGTCTTGCCACCTCAGGGTCTTGAAGAGGGGTGGCAAGAGGATGCCATCCAAGATTGTGTGTTCGAAAGCGGGTTCGCGGCAGCTCTCTGTTGCATCCAATCTAATTTCCCCCCTTAACCATCCTGCCATCGTCCGGCCAGAGACGGAAAAAGATACATCGTCGGCTTCGTATCGTGAGTGTCTTGATATTAGACCCTCATCGCGCCCACAGGAGTACGGAGGCGAGGGGGGGGGGGGTTACAATACACCTCTCTCCATCCGCCGTACAACCCTTCCTGCATCGCCTTACCTCCCGGGATCGTCGTTCCGGAAGTTCTCCTTTTCAATGAATGAGCCCCCCAGTATTCCCGTCAGAAAACACACACCCCCTCCCCTCGACAGTAAACGGCCCTCTCGAGATGGCTTGAATCAAACTTGCCAGAGAATGCAACAATGTCCCACCCTTGGGGGGGGGGGGGCAGTGCACGTTTGTACCTGCATTCTGCGCTCGGCTCGTGCTAACGGAGGAATAAGCCAGTCAAACTGCGTGCCAACCAGGCTTGCCTTTTCGTATAGCCCCTCGAGATTTTCTTACCCCCCTCCCCCTCCCCTTTCCAACTGCCAACTTCAGGGTCTCTTGACGTAATGTGAATCTTGGAAGATCTGCGTTGTTCTTACCGTTCTCCCAGCATACCAACCGCCGGGTTCGCCTGAAGCGTTGCATCGCATCGGTGGAAAGACTAAATCGGCCAGGAATCAAGCTTCAACAACAAAACCCCGCCCAATAAGCACCGACCGACAATGATTCCATACCGTCCAACGGGATTTGGCCCCCCCTTCATTCTCCTTGCTTCGCCGCAATGCACCCTCAAATTTCCACCCCTCCCGGCGTCTCTGTGGTCACCTCCCCCCCCGGGCGCCCGGCCGAACACGAGAGATCAACGTGTGGCAAAGTCCCGTGGTTGACCGGAGCCAGGGACCGGGCATCACGGCCCTGCTCGCGCCAATGCGCCGCCGTCTCCCCCCTCCCTCCAAATACATTGTACGTCCCCGAGTCGTGGTTTATGGCTCCTCCCCACCACCACCGTCGTGGCTCAGCCCTCTATAAATATATCCCATTTCCAATGATTTCCCCAAGGGCCCTGCGATCAAGGGTTCCATTGAGGGTGATCTCCGGCCGTCGAGAAACCTACCTCGTCGAGAAATGATTATCGCGGTTTGGATATCGTTTCCCGAGTCCCTCGTTCCTAAGCTTAATGCAAACTTTGTTTTGCTCCTAACGCTGATGAATGGATCCGGGCTTCATCAAGGGCCGTCATCTGCCGCATCTGCATTCATGCCGCCCCCCCCCCCCCCCCCTCCTTTCCCTTCCCACAGTGCTGCGTAAGCCCGGCCCAAGGGCGCCGGTGCCCCCGCAAAACCCACGCAATGGAAGGACTCGCGAAGAGTTTTCCTCTCGACAATGACCTCATGATCGGCGGGAAACAGCCCTTCTTCGGCAACCGCGGCCGCCAATAATCGATGCATCCCGGCGGCGTCCCTGGGGGACCCCTTACAGTGTCAACGAGTTCCTAGGGCAAATCCGCGGAACCCAACCCTGATCCCAGCCCAGCCCAGCTCACCACAGGGGGGGGAGCTGTCGCATGCGCGCGCGCGGGCGGGCGGAACTCTCTCCGACCACCAGTGAGTGGTCTTGGATTGCCGAGCGACCTCGACAGCCACTGCACCGCACCGCACCGCACCGCACCGCATCGCACGAGCACACGAACCAGCAACTGACTCTTGCTGGTTACTTTTTTCCTTTTTTCCTTTTTTCCCTTTCTTTTTCTCTGCTTCTCCGGAACTCAAAACTCGACGAGATTGGACCAAACGTTCCGCCCCAACTTCTCCAGTGGGATGTGGGATTGTCGTGGGCGAGCGGATGCATCTGATGGATATGATGCATGTGCGGCACCGCACTCTTCCTGTCTCTGCTCAAACTACGGTACCTACACTAGTTTATAGACGTACATCGTATATCGCCGAATGGCCGCCGTATAGGGATGACGCTTGCGCATCCAAGTAAACGACATTGTACCCTGCGCATCTGCCACCAATACACATTTACTTGTTGTTATTATTTTTGTTTTTTGTTTTTTTGCCGCCGTTAGTGCTGCAACCTTCTGTCCGGCCACCCTCGTCCCCCGGCGCTTACAAGATTAACCCCAAGGCATCGTCGTCTCTTAGTCCCGAGAGGAAGGGCACGTTCCGGGAGGGGAAGGACGACAACGGTCCCTGGATGGGGGCCGTCTTTTTTCCCAGGTCCGGCAAAGTGCACGTTGTGCCCCGGGACTCCCATTGCGACGTGAGGTGGGGACCTTGACCCAAGCAG